GGAAACACCGGTGGGACATTATGGAATAGAGAATATGGCAGAGAGGTCCGACTTGGTGATGCAAAGTTGGAGGAGAACGTCACACCGGTAGAGAAGGAAGTGTGCGGTGGTTGCGTTCCAAACGTTAGTGGAGCGCCGGTTGATGGCTGCATGCTGGCCACGGCAGGTGAAGGTTGTTGGGATGTAGAAGACGTTGTGCTGAGGGCTGCGAAAGCTGATGTTGCCATGACGTAGGAGAATAAACGGCGGCGGCGCTAGGGTTCGCTCGTGGCAGTGGCGGCGGCTCTAGGTTTAGCTCGCGGCGCCGAATGTGAAGTGAGAGAAGATCGGGAAATTTTTTTAATGTGCTCTTGATACTATGTGAGAATAATGGAAAAGGTTACTCCCTTAGGAGCCCTGACAGATATATTTATATTAAAGAGAGTTTAATGTAAAGTACAATACTAAACCTCTAATAATTCTATTAGAATCTACCCATGAAAATCATTGTCATCGTCCTCCCTTTATCCTCGTTTTGTCTTCAGGTTTCACTCTCACCAGAACCCAAAATCTGAAAGAGGAGACCGAAGAATGCCTACAAGTTCCGGTATGGTGTTTATCGTAGGAAAAGGAAAGGGTAAGGGGAAAAAGAGAACGGGAAAAAGTTGCATGCATGAGGCAACACCCAGGGAAGAAGAGATCGGGAAGAAAGAAAGATGAATCAAAGAATAAGAAAGAAAGAATGAGAGAGAGAGAGAGAGAGAGAGAGAGAGAGAGAGAGAGAGAGAGAGAGGAAGGAACAAAGAAAGCAAGAAAGCAAGCAAGCAAAAAAGAAAGTGAAAAAATGCCACGTGGTCCGCCAGGTGGGATGCCACACGCATAGCTAATCGAGAAATTGGTTGGTTACCTCCTAACTAGCTCAATTGAGTGTTTTATAAGAGTTCGGGGAATTGATTGACTCTCCGCACATAGTAGGAGAACGTGTATGACAGTTTTCTCTAAAGTTTTCAACTCTATTTTTGATAATTTTTTAATATAAAATTACACTTGTACGCTTACTCTACTTATCTACTTTACACCCATTTTTGTTTCCCTTACTTCACTTGTTATATGTAGTACTCCCTCCGCCTTATTTCAAGATTCTCATTTTCGCTTTTTTGGACATCCCATATAAATGCTTCATTTCTATTTTAGGAAACACTTAACACTCTCAAAAAACAATTTAATCATCAAATTAAAAATAATACGCCTTTAACATCATAGTTATCATCAATGATCTCATTATATTATATATTTATCAAAACCATTTCTCAAAATTTACTCGAGTAACCGTATTTAATCATCAAATAATGCGTCTTTAACAACATAGCTATCATCAATGATCTCATTATATTATATATTCATCAAAACTATTTCCCAAAATTTACTCGAGTAACCTTATTTAATTATTGTCTGAATAAATGTACCATTTTTACAATGGAAACCTTTAGGCAATGCGGGGTAGCGTATACTTTTATAAGAGTATAATAGAAAGGTCAAAACAAAGTTTCACTTTTTTAAAAATGTGGATTGGTCATTTTCATGCGGAGTAATCTTAAAACAATAATGCTATTTATACACAAGTGTTGTACACACTCCCTACACTGTATACCCCCCCCCCCCCCCCTCACACACACTTTTTTATCCCTTCCTCTCTCCCCCTCTCGTTCATACGAAAACCTCCCACTTCCTCTTCTTTTTCTCCTCATTTTCATCACTTTTATATCCATCATCAATCCATCTTCTTCACTATTGGTGGTCCGAAGTGAGGTAAAAGTTTGGGGGGTGAATAAACTTTTAAATCTTTTTATTAATCAACCATTCACCTCTTAACTTAGTAAGTTTCAGTATCTTTTGAGAGATATTGTAACATTCAGCGGAAGTCTTGACCTCATACGTGTGACACTTTATAGTAACGAAGGTTATGATCCTTTAGTTTGATGGAAGGTGGTTAAACAGATTTCTAACGTGTTTATCAAAATCGGTTACCTCAAGGAGCAGACTGTCGAATAAGGTTACTGCCTTAGTGTTAGAGTCATAGTGAAGTCTGAAACATTGTAGGACTTTTTAGAGTAGACTAAACACATAGACATGAAGGATTTTGGCCTTTGTGGATAGATTTCTTTTTGGTACAAGAATGAGGAAATAAGAGACTAAGATGAAGTAAACTGAATAGTTTACAGATATGTGTTTTAGGAAGCTGTTTGTGAGGTGACTGGAAAGATGTGAAGGTGAGTGAGAAGTGACTGTAAAAGGTGACACAAGATATATCCTGGTTCAGAGGTGGTGTAATCCTTCCACATCGAGTCTCACCCTCTTTCAGATGGATTTTCACTAAATGAATTGCCCATTCATTTAGTGTCCAATCTATCCTTGGATGCAGGCATAGATTCTGAGTTTTTTCACAAGGAAATTGAACATCATTCCAAGCTACTCAGTCCTCCAAGGTTTTTCATTAATGGCATTAACTAGCCACAAGTTACTCACGTCCTTGATCTTCACATACAGTGGCGGATGTCTTCTATGCAAAGGTGTTCATGTGAACACCTAAAAATATAAAATCAATGGGAATATATATGCATGAATTAAAGTAATAGATCATTTATTAGTATTGTAAGGAGAAATTGTGTAATTTTGAACACCCAAAATATGAATACTAGATCCGCCATTGTTCACATACCTTCTAGATTTGATTACAAAGCCCTCCAGAGTTTACAAACTGGTCTAGTTTACAAGAGTAAAGCTAAACTACCAGCTAACTAAGCTCTAAAGATGTATATGTATTTGAACTATTGTAAGAGCTTAGGAGAGTGGGGTGAGAAATAAGAAGATGAGTGATGATCAGCACTCTGCTCCTTTGCTGGATGTGGCGTATAAACTTTTTTTTCTTCTTAGCTCCTTACTTAGTTCTCACACACTCCTTCTGTATTTAAAGACTTGAGTTTTTGAAGATCTTCTGTTGGCTGAAGAGATCCAATCTTGACCGTTGGTTGATCCACTTGATTGATCTACTTGACTAAAAGACAGCATGATTGGCTTTTGTCTTCTTGTGACACGGATTGTAACTTTGTACAACTTGTATTCCTCATTTCAAAGAAATTGGTTTAACGCTTAAGACAAAATTTTAATCTTTAGCCGTAGAGTTGAGTATAAGCTGGATGTTTGTTCAATGCTCTCTTAGTATATAAATCCATTGCTTTTAGAAAAAATAATGTTATAAGATTTTTTTATGAGGTGGTAAAAAATTCTTATAAAATTACATTTTGTGGTTGTCTTTTATTTGACTGCAAGTTGGTCTTTTAATTTCTTATAAAAAACAATGTCTCGTTTTCAGGTACTCTTTATCCACTCGTGTCAACTTATGTGACCATTTTCTCATAAAAATAAATCGTGACAGATTTTAATTATAAATTGCATTTTTTATCTTAAAATGCAATATGGCTGCCTAGGGGTGAGCATTCGGTCGGTCGGTCAAATAAACGACCGATAACCGAATAACCTATCAATATTTTTTACTCTAATAACCGACCGATAATCGACCAACAACATTACAAAAACCGACCGAAAAATGCCATTCAGTTTCGGTCGGTAACCGAATAACTGAATAACTGACCCTATTTCAAAAGCATATAATTTTCAAAATTATGAAAGTTGTAGACAACACATTAATAAATATAATAATAAATACCAAAATAGATTTAACTTATTTAAATGTAAATAATAGTACAAAGCACACTACATATGCACACATGATGCAGTGGTGGGAAATTTGATCGCACGGGTAGCTCAGTTGGTTCAGTGGTGGGAAATTTGGACCAAGTGACCAAGGTTCGAAACCCGCATCGGCCGTGTGGAGGTCACAGAACTTGAAATAAGGTTGGGTCTCTGGTGCGCACGGGAAAAAGGCCTACCATCATTGTGCCGACTGAGTCACCGTGATTAACATCCTCCCAAAAATTTTGTCGGGTCGGGGTATGGGGGGCTCCTAGGGTGGGAGATTACACCTTTTTGGACCAAGCATATTGTTTATGTTGCTATCTATTCAATGATAAAAGTACGACTTGTGCAAGGTGGAGGTGATTCATTTGTGACAGAAGGAGAACGTAACAGTGTACATAAAAGGATTAGAAAGGTTGCGTGCGCATGTTGGAAAGAATAACAGTGTACATGCTAGAAATGTACAAGCTATCCTTGATTTGATGACTCAAGAGCAACATATACAAGTATTTCTTTCAAAACAATAGGAGCAAATGAAGCAAGAATATCGTATTCGATTGTATGTGATGGTTTCTACACCAAAGCTTTCATTGAACTCTTAAAGTCTGTTAACGAATTTGGCATTGAAGTTCCTGATATGGATGCATATTATGTACGTCTTGGAAGGTCAGGACGTAGAGTTGAGTTGCAGAGAGAGAAAACCACCTCCTAAGATATTTTATTTGATTTTAGATCTACAAGTTCAACAAGTCCATGAAAGAAATACTGAGCTCTTCTTGTGTGTCTCATCTTGTGATCTCGAAATTCATTTGAGAAGTTCAATAAAGAGAAATTAGAGTTTTATCCAAATGATTTGTTTCAAAATTTTGAATGATCGGCTTTAGACTAATTCCATTGACGCATCTTCTGATTTAAATTTTCACGATTGATGAATTAGCTTAGGGAGTTGTGGAGATGGGAAGACATTTCAATTATAACTTGGTGTGCTCTCTTCTAGTGTTGAAAGAACATTTTCTTCTATAAAACTTATCAAGGTGTCCTTATGCAATCGTATGGGTGACAATTTGTTGAACGATTGCTTGGTTCCATAAGCTGAAAAAGAGATGTCGGTTCATATCCCTAATGAGACAATCTTAGTACGATTTCAAAGTATGAAAGAATGTAGATGAGTACTTTCTAGTTAATTGTCTTCAATATTGTAGTGTAAATTTATTTATTTGCTCAAAACAGCTTTTTGAATTAATGATACTGCCTGTTATTTAAATGTTGGTAAAAAAAAGTGTATAATCGTAAGGTTAACCCTTGTGCTTGCAGGAGAAAAGTTGTAGTCAGCATTGGGTTTTTTAAGAGATATGGAACACAATTGTAATGACATGAACATGGACAATTTTTAGTTAAACAAAAACTTGAAAAACAACAGCAGCACAATTGCTGGCTCTGCCTACAAATTAAATATAGCTGAATTACAGCGGCCCTTAATTATCTTCAATAACCCACCTGGGAGAATTTTATTTTAGCTACATTATTGAATTGAATTGAATTGATGATGATTCGAACCAAATAAAGGCCGGGCGGATCACAGTAGACTCCTGAGAAGAATCCCTTCAAAAGTGATTCCAGGTCCAAATGCCAAAGCGAGTCCCCATTCTTCTTCTTCTTCGGTTGTCTTCCTCCTCCTCCTCAACTCATCTCTCATGTGCTCCAGCACATAGAAGATGGTGTTGCTGCTCACATTTCCAAACTCCATTAACGCCTTCCGGCTGCACTCCAGCTTCTCCCTCGTCAGTCCAAGAGTTTCTTCCAATCTGTTCAGTATCGCGGGCCCTCCTGGATGCACTGCCCAGAAAAAGTCATTGTACTTCATGCTGCTTGCTGTTGCAGTTGGGACCTTGGCCATGAGCTTCTTGCAGAAGTCCTCGATGTTGTCCTGGATCTTCTCCGGCAAGTCCCGCCCTAGCTTGAAGTTGATCCCCTCCTCTGAAATCCGACCGTCGATGACGCTATGAGTTCCGGGCAGGAACTGCTGAGCTGCAAAGGAGAGTTCCATGAACGGGTTCTCCACGCACTCCCTGGGCTCGGCGCCGACGATGACGGCTGCGGCTCCATCACCAAACAGGGCAGCGCCAACGAGGTCATAAGGGCGGGCCCGATTGGGGGGGCGGAAGCCCAGAATTGTGGTCTCGGACGTGGTGACGAGGACCCGGCTGCCCGGGTTGTTCTCGGCTATGTCCTTGGCGACCCGGAGGGCGGTGACCCCGCCGTAGCAGCCAAGGAAGTAGAGCATGACGCGGTTGACGTCGCTCCTCAAGCCCAGCTGGGTGGCCAAGTAGAGATCCCCTCCGGGCAGCCGGATTTCGCTGGACGAGACATAAACGATGTGGGTGATCTCCTCTGCTGGACGGCCCCAATCCTTGATGCAGGCGATGCTAGCCTCCTTCGCCATCTCAACTACTGCAGGGTTCGCTATTTCCAGCCGCTGCGCGATGGTGGGACACCCTTCTCTCACTAGCTCTGGGTATTTCTCCAACACATCTTTGCACATCACTGTGTATCTTGTCTTCACTGTTGTTGTTTTGCCTTCCATTTCATCCAAAACATACAATATATAATACTTTTACCATTCATATATATATATTTAATGCACTACTGTTAGTTTTTAAGTACAGTATTATAAAAACATACAGATTTGTTTTTATGAATTTGAAGTCTTCAATTCAAAGCTAGATTGAGCTAAGTACTTACAAAGTCTCTCGAGCTTCTCCTTGATGGCAAGGTCATGGCACTTTGTGTCGCGAATGTAGCCTTCGACTAAGCGGTCTTGGGGAACAAGTTGGCTGGGGAAGGCTTTGCCTAATGCGAGAATGGTGGCCTTGCCCTTGGTCGAAGGAGATCTGTTCCTGCTTGAAACATTATTACCGCCGCTTCCATTCAGATTAGACATTCCTGTAACTAGCCTTAATTAGCTTGTTATATTCAGAGAGAGTTAGCTTAGGTTAGGAAGAATTATATTTAGCGTACGTTTAATGAATGAGTCCGGGAGCTAGAAGTGGAAGGTGGGTGTATATATACACACACATAAGTGGGGTCGCAGGAGATGAGTTAGTTTGGTTTTGGAGAAACTTGATCCAAGAGCTTTTTGCATGAAGTGTTAAAAAACCATGCATGCCTTTTCACTGTCCAAATACTTTACTTTTGTTTATTTTCCTACCTACCTTCGGTTGGAATTTTAAGAATTTATTTAATTAATTAATGGTGTAAATATTTCTCACGACCTTTGCATGCACTTGATTCCCCTCTCCCAGAACCGCTACCTATTATAGTGTTTCATGTTTTGCTACTTTCCTTTTTCCTATAATATAATACTCTGTCACTTGTTATAACGTATGTTACTTGTGCAAATATTATTTACTTATGTTATAACATTATGTTTGTATTTTATTATGATACGAGTATATAATAGGAATAAGGACACAAATATTACCAATAGCTTTCTATGTGAAATACAAAAATATGATTACTTTTCATTTCCCCCAAAAATATGACTAAAATATTATCAAATCTCAAAAATATCCCCAAACCTAAAATCCTCCTTCGGTGTGTGCATTTCGCTTCGGAGCTTGGCCATCGACTTGGAGAACACGCAATCAATCAATCTGGAGCTTGATGGAAGACAACAACGATCTGATCCACTGAAGACATCGATCGATTACGATGGTCTTCAATCACAAATTCACTTTCGTTCTGTGATGCAGATCTAAAAGGTCGCAGTGGTTAGGGTTGGGAATGGAGTTGGCCGGGGGTTGTGACGACACCGGGGGTTGGGGTTGAGTCTGGTCATTGATTGTGCATGCGGTTAGGGTTGGGGTCTGGTTTGGGCCTACGGATGGTGCTTATTGGACAAGCAGTTCCAATAAGCACCATGTCTGTTGGTGTCATTGTGGTGGGGTAACTGCCCAAAGTCATGGTGTCACTGTGGCAGCTGATGTCACTGTGGCTGGCGGCGGTGTAACAGTGGCAGCCGATATCACTGTGGCCGGCGACGGTGTAACTGTGGCTGGCGGCGGTGTCACTGTAGCTGGCGGCATTTTTTGGTAGTGGTGGCCGGGCGGCGGAGATGTCACTGTGGCCAGAGGCTGGGCAGTGACGAGCACTTTGTCGTAGTGCGTCAAAATAAATTCAATACTAACACTTATATGTAGTATAGCGTAGTACAGTTCGTATCCACATGGAAAAGAATATTTTTCTTTTTATGAACTAGTAATTAAAGGGGGGTTTTGGGGTTGAATGATTTAATTTAATTAAAAACTAAGATGAACAACTTATATGTGATTTAATTCAAAGATAAAAAGAACTTAACTTTGCTACTTTCCACTTGTTGATATATTTAGCCGATCCTTGTTATATCTATAATTTATCTTCTCTCCAATACTCAATCGAGGAGTATATCCAATTCATCAAGGGTAGTTAGTAACAATGACCGTTCATTAATAACTCTTACTATTAATCAAATATAGAACAACGTCTTATACCGATTTAATAGTAGCATTTAATCTTTCTAACTCCTTGATGAAATCAATTGAGATGTATAACCTAAACACAACAGTTTTGGTTTAACCAACAAAATTAATCTCTCTCAAGTTTATTAACCACGACCGTGCATTAATAAATTGAAGTTACTTACTTGTGAAACCATCAACGATTAACCATCGGTTCGTTGATCGTTTCTAGTAATAATTAATATTGAGATGTTGAATAATTGTCATCTTAGCAACACTCCCCAACAATAATATAGAAATAGATTAAGGGAAGAATTAATATTCAAGGAGAGAAGTTAAGAAAATAACTCACAACTTTAATAATCAACAAGCTTCAAGAGCAAAACCAAGAAATGGAAGTTTAGCTCCTCATTTGGAGACTAAACATGCTAGAAAAATATAAAAAAATACTATTCTAAGTTGAGCTTAAGTATATGGAAGAAGGGATGATGAAAAGTGAAGGAAAATGGGGTTATTTATAGATGTTTTCAACACCTATGGCCGGATACCCGGCAGGGTATTTGACATACCCGACCCGGTATCTGTCAAATCAAATCATTTTCTCACGTTTTTGTGTTCTTCTGCACGTCTTTCTATCTGAATTCACTTCATACCCGACCAGATATATGGAATACCCGACTGGGTATTTGATATAATTTCCCAGAAGCTTCCTCTTGCACTTCATACCCGGTCAGGTAAAGGCCATACCCGACCGGGTTTTGCACAAAGCTCAGGTTTGTTCATCTTTTTTGCTTCCAAACATATCCTAAACATATAGTCCAACTAGCTACAACTTACAACAAACAATAAAATGCTAGAAATACGATTATAATCAAATGCAAAGTAATAACTACAAACTTGCACAAAACTAGTAAATAAACATTACAAACAATAATAAAAATGTATACTTAGGCATTAACAACTAATGCCTATCAGGCAGAGATGTCATTACAGATTTGTCACTGCGGATGTGTCATTGTGGCCGGCGGTGGTGACCGTCAGTGGCAACCGGCGGTGACCGGCGGTGGATGCAGTGGCGTTAGTGATATGGGTGATGGTGGCGGAGATGTCACTGTGGAAGCGTCACTGTGACCAGCGATGACAGAGATGTCACTGTGCATTAGTCACATTTTTGTTCAAATGTAAATGTTGTCACTTTTTTGAAAATTAGTTTTAGTTGTCATAGTAAGGGAAAACCCCTATATAATATTACAATTATATTTGCCAAAAAATACAATTATATAAATACAATTACGTAATTATAAATACAATGCATATGATGTTATTAATTAATGAATATACAATCCTCCGTTCCATAAAAGTTGCAACAGTTTGACTTTCACGTTTGCCAACGCGCAACTTTGACTGTAATTGAATTTATTTACGTATTAGTAAACATTAAAAAAAGTTAATATATTGGAAATTTACATTAGTACAAATTTATTAATATTTTTTACATAATATTTTTATTATATATATTATTAGAAAATCGTTGTCAAAGTAAGATGTGTGAATAGTGCAGAAATTCCAATGTTGCAACTTTTATGGAACGAAGGAAGTATGCATTAATACATAAATAGTGTGTGTGTATCATTGAAGCAGTTTAACTAGGTCTGGTGCCATCCCTGGTTTGCAGGGCCGATCCCGAGAAAACGGAGGCCCTGCGCAATAATAAAATTTGGGCCTTTTTTCAAGTTTCAACACAAGCACACTGATCAGGTATTTCAACATTATTTTCAACATTCACATCTTGTTGTTCACCCTCTTGAAGATCTCTAACCTCTTTAATAATAAACTTATCAAGAGCTCCTTTTTGAGACTGTGTTAACTCGTCAAGTCTTCTTTTCCTTTGACGCTTCTCATAAGCGGATTGGTATTTATATTGAAACATAATTATTACCAATTATTGAAATTCTTCTATAATCCTGTACATGTTTATAAATTTTAAATTAATATTCAGTTTAAAATTAGGGTGAAAACATGAATAACAAAGTAGTGTATAATTAAAATTTATCGACCTCAAGTTACCTAATAATATATTTATACCACTTTCTTAAATTTTAATTGCTAAACACTTTTATACATCTACTATTAATTCAAATAATGGTTTGCTTTAACTGCAAAAAATCAACAAATAACAACAATTCAACAATTCATCAATTCAATAATAATTCAAAAAATCAACAAACAATTCATCAATTCAATAATTAAAATATTCACAAGAATTTAACAAACAATTCATCAATTCAATAATTCAAAAATTCTACAAACAATTCATCAATTCAATAATTCAAAAATTCACAAGGATTAGCAACTAAATGAACAAAATAATTGAAAATCAGTGACTAACCGGTCAAGGAGGCGGGACTCGGGAGCTTGAGGGACTGAGGGTCAGGAGACGGCCGGCAGGCCGCAGGTCGTGGTGGTATGGTGGACTGGTGGCTGCCGGCTGGCATGCAGAGGGGCGGAGCTGCTGGGCGCTGCAGGGCCGTGTGGCGGTGTGCGGCAATGCGGGCGTGCGGCACAAGGTGTGCGGACTGCGGAGCGGGGATGAAGCGAACTGGGACTCTGGGAGGCGACGGGAATGCTTTTGGCTAAAGCTAATGGGTTGTGCTGGGGGTAAACTAATATGGAGCACTATTTTTTTTGGGCCCTTTAAAAAATCGGGCTGCACTGGGCTAACATGGCCTGGGCCGGCCCTGACTGGTTTGGGTCTGGTCCAATTCCAGAACTGGAACTATGTACTCCTTCCGTCCTGGTCATTTCTTCCGGTTTTGACCGGTATCGCAAATTTATGCAAATTTATAAAGGGGTTGACTTTCCCCTTATACCCTTGGCCGAATGGGGTAAATGAATGGGTAAAATTTGAGGTAAAAACTTTAATAAAGTGGGAAAGTGATTAAAAGTAGATTGATTGACATGTGAATAGTAAAGACTATTCACATTTGACTAAAAGTTTCATACATAGACGGCAATCCAAAAAAAGGAGGGAGATTAGTTCCTTACATATACCACTCCCTCCTTACACACACACACGCACACTTACAAACACTGCACACACACGCACACTGAAAACAAAAAAGGCTGCTTCCATGGCTGCAATATCTTCCACAGCTGCAACTTCTTCTTCATTTTCTCCAGCTTCTTCCACACCAGGACCCCTAGACCTGCAAATAGTAACAACGGATGGTCATGGTGTTGCAGTGGGGGGACAAAGGCTTTCGAACAGTGAAAAAGAGCGCATAACACATGCACTCTTAATGTCCATTAGGAGGGATTATTTGGGGTACTTGAAAGCTCAGAAAGGTATTTTTGTCATACTTGCTGAAGAGTATGAAGTGTCCAGAAGAACTATTTCTGGCATTTGGGACACAGTTAAAAAGCAAGTTGTACAAGGTGATGCAGTAAATGTGTGTAGGAAGTACCATGGCAGAAAAAGGATAGAATTTGATCTATCTCAAGTATCACAGATCCCACTGCATAAAAGGACTACCATAAGGTCCTTGGCAGCTGCCACCTCAATATCAAAGTCA